CGCAAAGCCGAAGGCAGTTTGCACAAGCGCAGTTGGTGCTGTCAAAAGGCACCGAACGCCAAGGGAGGGACAGCAGCGATCGAGTGTGCGGTGGGCAGCGACTGTGCGCAGAGCCCGCACACGGTCTGTGGGGTTTATTTATCCTGGGCTTCCCCTTCCCAGAGCACCCATCTGCCGCGGCGCGGCGTGACAACCTACAACGTCCGGCTGTTGAAGGGCCTGGGAACAGTTCGGGTTCAAAAGAAGGCCCACGAGGCTCAAACCGCAACGGTTTCTCAACGGGTACCTTGAGCCAAAATGGCTTGAGCCAAAATGGCTACGGGAAAAAAAAAGAATGACAACGTGACTCCTAAAGCGCTGGCAGACATTTGGTCGATGTGCCCGGTGGCGCGCCGGCCATCCGGGCAGCCTGCCCACGCACTGGCCGGCGTGTTTTTTTTCTGGAGCTTGCGCGGAGCGGTTGGAGGGGAGGAGAAATTCGCTGCGACCGGTTGCTCGGACGCACAGTGATGTTTAGTTCCATCGCCCGATGGCTTCGAATGCCAGACGGAAGCACGCATTGTAGACACGAAGCGAGCTGAGTTGCACTGGACGGGGAGTGCCGTGTCGCAGGGATTCAAGCTTGAGCTTCACGACATGCCCGGCGGATTGACTGGCTGACTGACTGACTGATTGACGGACTGGCTGCAGACTGACTGGCTGAATGATTGCATGGTTTGCTGACTGATTCGGTGCTCGGCAGTCTGTCGGTGTCGGTAGCACCCGTACGTGTAAAACGATGGGCGGGGTGGCTGCGTGCTGCAGCCCTTTTTTTTTGAGCTGTCCGCGGCGCGCGTTTAACGTGAAACAAAGACCCGGCTTGGCTCGAATTTGTGATGGGGCATGAGCATGAATGTGCGTGCGAAAAACGGCTTCGGCCTTGTATCTCATGCACGATTGTACGACGGAATGGCCATTTGCTTCGAGGCAATCAGCGCAAGCCGTACTCACAGGCAGAAAAAACTTCAGGCATCCGAAACTTCCTCGAAAAAAACAATTGATGTCCCCCCCTGTTGTTACACCTCTGCATGGGCTTGCAGGCTGTCGAGACCGGCGCCAACTCATCCGTACGCTGACCCGGTATCGTTCAGACGGCATGCAGCGCAGCTCTGCGCTGCGCTGCAGCCGCTGCACGCCGTCGCTCTGGACCAGCTTTTTGGGACTTGTGCTGGCTGCTAGCTCGCTCCTGGAATCTCCTGGGCCAGCCGCTGGTTGGGGAGTACTGTGTTGAGGGAAGCACGCCTGCCCTGCACGAAGTGTTGGCCGTCAAGATCAGCGAGAGGTGCGTCGATCGCGCCAGTTTTGGAGGGTTTGCAGAGATTTCATGGACCAGATCATGCATTGCGTTCTGAAGTTGTCATGCCTGCAGGGTGTATGCGGAAGGCATGCTCCGCAGCTCTTCAGGACAGTTTAGAACGTAGATACGACTGCATTGGCCGTTTGCCAAGTGGGGCCCTGGCCTGAAGTTTGGGCTTGCATGGATATTCTTGTATAACGGCAACGACCATCTCTCACTCATTTGGAAGCGCTCTCGATGTCATTCCGTTGCAGGTCGTCCAAAGATGGAGGCCTTGACTTTGCGCTACACCGTATTCAAATATTCCGCGACTTCGCTTTAGCGTGGAGAGGTTGTGGTGGAAAACGCCTCTGGCATCCCGGAGGGGAGCATTTTGCTCGGCTGACATGATTCACAAGTAACGCTCGCTTGGACCGAACTTGGAGACGTGGAATGCAAGAAAACAGCTTGGCAGGTCCATTCGTGCTGGCAACGTCAGACGGCAGGGCACGCTTTCCACCGACAAGCCAGTGGATCTCACAGCTTTGCGCTGCGTTCGCGAGCTTCTGCATGGGAAATCATGGGATCAATTGCATGTCCTGTCAAGATTCGTCCCATGTTGTACGGTCGTTGCTTCTGTTGCACAGTTGTAATCCTTCATGAATGAGGTGCAGTTCGCTCAAACAAGTCTTCTGGATGCGTGTCCATTCAAAGTGGACATCTTTGCCCCGCTGGGAAGCTCCAGATTGGTTTGTACCTGAGACGGCCAAGTTAGCAGTGGCATAGTTTTTTCGATGCGCTGCATGTTCGGCGATGAGCAGGTGTTGCGACCAAAGAACGATCGCTACACCGTTAGCTTCGGAGACAGTGAGAAGAAGTCCAGCGCTTGAAACATGCTTTCTCCGTTCTTACAGAGGCGGGGCTTGTGGGGCCCTGGGGGTGCCAAGGATGAGCTTGGACCTGCTGGTACAAGGGCTCTCAGCGGCTGGACCCGACAAGCCACAGCCACACCCTCGGGACGGCTACATAAGAGTGGCTTTCGGGGCATGGTGACAGTTTCTCATGACCTCGAGGCTTACGGCACCGCGTGAAGAGCTTCTATCTGATACCGAGGTGGGTTCATCCCAAGATAATCATGTCGGCCTCGGAACTTGTATAGGCATACCTGGAGCGTCACGAGTTGCAACGCTTCATCCAAAACTTGATCACGAGCGCCTGAATTGCAGCTGGAGCTTTTTTTTCAGGCTGCGAAATGGCGCAAGGCGTTCTAGCACACATACCCATCTATACAGGCAACGTGAAAGACGGAACTTATGGGGAAATGGTGTTGGTTCTGGTTGTTGGGTTACTTGTAGCTCAGACATGCACACATGTCGTTTCTGTTTGTTAGGTGTCTTGGCCGACAAGCCTGATGATCCCTATGTGCTTCGGCTACATACTGGTGGCAAGCGCCTGCCATGACAATTGAGCCAAGTGCGCTGTTTAAGTGTGCTATAGAAAGCTAACGCCGCTGCGTGAGCTTTTTTCTTGATTGTTGGTCCGAGGCCTACATGGCACACCACCTGTCCAACGCGCGAGCTAAGCTCTCAAACATGTCATCTGTGGGGCAGTCCGGACATCTCGGTTGTCGCAGTCTTGGATTTTTCAAGGTGAAGGAAATCCCGCGACCACCATCCGTGCAGGTATATGGGTCTCATGACGGGAAGCACTAGGTCACTAGTTGTTCGATCATTTCGGGTGGAAGGCTGCGCAGAGCCACACGAAGCGTCCAGCCAAGAAGCCTGCACGACTGGCGTCGTGAGCTCAAGCCAGCTATCCGGTGGCATACTCCATCGTACCACATTTAGAGCGCAGACCAAGGCCTCACAAGAAGAGCTTTGGCCATCCTGCCTTCGTCGTGGAAGACTTTGACGGGAATCTACTCACGTTGAGGGAGCTGGAGGCGAAAACCGCTCCTGCCACGCAGCGACAAGCTCTTGGGAGCTGTTTTGGCGCCTGCAGGCACGGGACATCATAGCTCCAGGAGCAGAGTTGAGGCGATTGATCATCGATGACCTTGGAAAGGCCATCGGGCCGGAGCTATCAGCATTCGCCGCTTCTTCTCGACTCAGAATTTGCTTCAAGGTGTTCACGTCAAAATGCCTTCCTTCTCCACTGAGCCTTGGCACAACGATCTGCTCCTGCCGGTTCGCTTTAGTATTTATGTTCTTCTGATTCTTCTGATCTTGAAGCTCCGGTATGGCCAGGAATGAGATTGTTGGGCACTTAATCCCAAACGATGCACGAGCCACTCAGGCTGGCACTCAACACTGCGAGTCAATTGTCTCTAACTATTGTGATGAGCCCAGGGCTGTAGCACAAGTAAGAGCGATAGCATGCGCCGGCAGTCCTGCGAAGCTTTGCTTGCGCAGCGCCTGTGTTGAAAACAAAGCACCGAGCAGGCAATACAACTTGGCAGCTGGATGCCTAGCTGCTGATGGTGGCTGTTTTTTCGCATTTGCTCGGACATTGCGCGAAGCGTGGATGATTTCGAAACCGGGCCGTATTTGGTACTGTCACCAAGGCAATGATTGCTTCTACCAGATGCCGCTGGCTGGTCCCAGGTGTGGCTAGCCATTGTCACGATTATTCACGATTAATCAGTGCTGACGGGTTTCGAGCCCAAAATACACGAGCAATTGCAGAGACTCAGAACATGCAGGCCGACACTGCATTTCGATCCCGAGGCGGTTGCCGACACAGCACGGTCCAGCTGCAGCATTTGTCGGTATGTTTCGACGACGGACTTGCAGGAAGTTGTGGCCACTCTGGTGACCTGTGGCGGCTTGTGCCCAGGTCTCAATGCAGCTCGGGTCCCAGGGCAGGCGTAGGAGCTGTAGGAGCGCAATTCGTCTTGCAACTCGGTCACCGGATGACCTGGCACTGCATCTAGTTGAAGGTGCACGCCAGCATTCTTGTATGGCCGTGCTGAAAAAAAGTGGGAAGCCAGTACTCCCACCAGGTTATACGTGAGTTGGTGATGATGCTCGCGCAATATGGTGCAGTTGCCTCGGCATGTCAACTAGATCTTCAAAGATTGCAAACCTAAGTGGCCTGCTCTGTCCGAGCGTCCAAATCATCAGGTCCGCAAGATTTACGGAATCCGTGGTGGCTACAAGGGGGTGTGGGCCCAATGCCATGCTATGCGTAGCAGCGTAGCAAGCTGTAGCAAGCAGTCAGGTGTGGATTTCGGATGATTTCGGTGTCACGATTTATTTAAAGGGACGACGACTGCTGAAAAGCGTCAACCTTGAACCGGGGTTCAGGGAAGCACCGTTGAGGAGAAGATGTCCTGTGAGGCTTCCAAGGTTTGCCGTTAGTTTAAGTAGCCTGAAGCACGGGAGATTGTGATTGCGAGTGCAATGATCACGCCAAGGCCGCCTGAATTCACAACTAAGCATCAGGAGGGCTCCGGGTTCACCAAGTTCAAGTTCCTTTGCCTTTGTCTTGCAAGCCTTGGCAAGCGAAAAGCAAATCGTGTCAGCCTGCCTCGGCTGCAGAAGAACGGTTCCAGTGAGTATGGACGTGTGAAGAGACTGCAGCAAGAAGGGGTCACAAAATACAGTGGCAACCGGGCTTATTGCAGTTTTACCAGCTGCCTGCAGGTAGTCAAGCCGGAGACGTGGATGGAGCTGACGCCAGACAATGTACAGGCATGTCGTCAGATTCAGCTCACTGAGAGTGTCAGACAGCATTCTGCCTTGACGACCATCTGATGTGGTATGTGCACAAGTAAGTGTATGTATGTATATGTGCGTATATATATATATATACATACATATATATATATACATACATATATATATATACACATACATATATGTGTGTGTACAGCCCTTATACCAAGGGGTAGGACAATGAAGAATCTGGATTGTTTTGCAACCTTCAGGCGTGGGCAGGAGTATACATTGGGACAACCAGGCCAACCCACAAACCTGGCAAGTCGACATTGAAGTAGAGAGTAATGTGCTTCTCCAACATCTCTTTTTTTATAACTGCCATAGTGGCTAGAGACCTTTGCCTTTGAAAGTAGGTACTTGGAAAACGATGTCAATCAGAGGGAGGATTTGCAAGTGTGTGTGTGTGTGCGCGCGCGCGTGCATGTGTTTGCCGTCCTCATCCTACGTTGAGGAGCATGACATGTCACTGCACTCGCACATGGAAACAGAGCAACAAGGTGGCAACCGAAACAAACCTGTAGCCTTAGCTGCACCCATAAAGCTGCTAGAGCTTGAGTGGATTGGGTCACGCACGAGTGTCCACTCTCAGCACTGCTGGCACTCTGGTTTTCGGACTGATAATGCATGTCTTCGCTCATGAATCAAAGAACAAATGCTTGCAAGGCTGGAGAACCAAACCATAATATTTGGAGGCTGCTGGTGTCAAAGACAAGCACGTTGGGATTTGTGTCCTGGAGCTTTGCTGCGGGCCGATTTCATGGGAGTTTTAAGTGCTTGCCTGCAGATGTCGGAAGCTGCGGCTTTGGCACCTCTTGAAAGTTCGTTTTCTCAATCACCAAGTTTGCCAGGCGGTGATTCAGGGCAAACGGCAACCATCAGATACATAGTTGGTTTCGGGTGTGAGGTGGCTTTGCTTACAACGCGGCAGCAAATCGTGTTTGCGCAGGATATCAACAGCATGGGAGGGCCAAGATCTCAGCGATATGCCGCACTGCATGAGCTGACTTGCACCAGCCATTGACAGTGCCGGAACATGGCTGAGGACCATCCTTGTCAGTGACCGGGGTAACCCAACAGAAGAGGCGACTTAACCTTTTCATACCTTTACGATAGCGGCAGCACTTATTGACTAACTTGAGCATGTCCAGAGTGCGGGCAAGAGCGCAGGGAAGATAGTTGCTGGCTGCATGCTGTTCCCAAAGCTGCAGTCTCCCTATGTCTTCAGTTTATGTCCTGCTCCAGGAACAAGTGCAGGTTCTGATGGACATGGGAGTCCGCGCCGCTCTTATTTAGGCGGCCAGGTCACCTGTTTCCTTGTAAGCATCGGTGCACACCTGCATCTGTATCCACGAGGTGCTCATTTCATCATCGGAGGTGATGGCACTCATCGTGGTGCCTTCGACGCTCGGCGTGAAGTGACGGACCATGCATGCGGCATGGTGATGCGAACAGACTTTTTTTTTCAGGACTGTGCGCAGCTGGTCAAAGCCAAAGGCTGGAACTGCTCAGCTGCTTGGCAGCTTCAGCGACGGGCACAGGTTGTGATAGGTGCTGGCAGCAGAATCACGTTTGCAGCCTCTTCTTGCTTTTGAGGTCATCGGAATTCCGAAGACTATCGACAATGACATCCCCATGCTGGACTGCACGTTTGGTTCCTCAGCGGCCAGAAGAAGGCATCTTTTCAAGCAGGGAGAGCAGTTGAACCGGGAGTGAGCTCAGGTTTCGACACTGCCTGCATGGAAGCAGAACGCGCCATCAAAGCTGGATACGTGGAAGCCACTTGCAATGCCAACTGCATTGGTCTCGTCAAGCTGAGCCCCGACTGCATACGACTGCAAACTCCTCTTCAGCGCCCCTGCAGCCCTGCAGCTCATGCTGATCTGTGGATCTGTCAGGATGGGCCGGCACTCCGGTTTCATTGCCTTGCATGCTTGCTTGGCAGCACGGAACGCGGACATTGTGTTACTCCCGGAGATGCAGATCTGCTGCTTGACCGGAACCGTCGCAGAAGCCATTCAAGTGAAGACAGCTAGAGACGAGAGCCACCTTGAAGCTCAGGCTTGGAGAAGGTTTTGCAGCATTGCTTGGAGTTGATGCAGTGGCTATGTGGCACCAAGACAGACCAAGACCCTTGGTGACTTGGCACCGCGAGACTGCTGGAAAATCTGAGGTCCAAGGGTCACTGCGTGATCGTGGTGGCCGAAGGTTGTGGAGACACTCTGCTCAAAAGCTCCGGGGAAGTCGACGGCTGCACTCTCAGACTCGGGAACTCGACAAGAGCTCTTAATGACAGCACTCGCCCCGGCTCCGCGTGCATCTGTTCCTTCGTGTCAGGATCAAGGTACCTGTACCAAGTGAAGAAATAGAGCATGTTGCCTGAAGGAGTGCCGCAGCATGGCGGCTGACCGTCTCCCTGCCAACGGCGCGTCTCTGGGCCCAAAGCGACCTCACCCTGGCCACCCTGGCAGCCTTGGTAGCGGCTTTCATTATGCGCAGTCGTGAGCCTCAGGCGGCCTCTCGCGACTGGCCGCACGGTGCGCGAAGCTGGTCCGGAAAAGGCCCGTGCACCTAGGCTCGAAGCCTGTGCAGCATGGCAGGCCTCTGGGACTCGCGCCACACCACAACTCCTAGCCCACACTGCATAATGACATGCCAAGCTGAAGGCAGCAGAGCCGGCTTTGTCGGAAGCATTCGCTGATAAGATTCGGTAGCAGCTGCCAGAGCTTCCTGCCCAGAAGCTTGCGTACACAGGCCAAGACTTTGGCACCCCTCGACTCTCCCAAGCTTTGCTGTGGGAAGCAGTTGTCGGCGTTGCAAGACGGAAGCTCTCACCTACCGGCAGTTCTTGGTCCTCGCAGGACTTGTCAGGTTTGGTATGGACATCTGCCAAGTTGAAGACAGACAATGAATTGGCCATGGCTGCTGCTGTCTTGCAGGCCCAGCCATTGATCACACGGCTTAGCATGCGGAGCCTCAGTAACATGGCTCGGGATCTTGGCACATCGCAAAAGATGAACGGACTCATGTCGAGTTCGGTCACATCACAGATGTTTTTGCTGGCTGACTCCACTCGGCAGCCCCAGGGTATTTCGAATTTGGCCCGGTGGTTTGCGAAGGTTAAACACGTGCAGGCACTGTCGATGCATCTGCCTGCCAGAGAGGGCACCCGGCGGTGTGATGGATTTCGGGCCCGGGAGCCTACCAGTACTTTGCAGGCGTCCACCATGCTCGAACTCTGTGATCTCCCGCTGTGGGATGCGATCGGCCCGTGCTTTGCATCCCAGGTTTCGGGGTCCGATTCCCAATGCTTGGCCAATGCAGTCTGAGATTCTGGAAAGCCTCTCACATCGGGCAAGCTCCTGTCAATGAGGGCTGCAGCTGCCCGGGCGCTGAAGCACTTGAAACCGCAGGAGCCGTGTAGCCTCTCTCGGGCGTTTGGGAAACCTCAGCTTGCAGAGCAGACCTTGCTGAAGACGGCTGCCACCCTCTGCCGGACCAACCTGAAGAGGCTCAATCTGCGGGCCTTGGCAAGCATGAGCCGGTGCCTCGTTTGCACTTCAGACCTGGCTTGGGGCACTCTGTTGTATGACATAGCCGCGTAGCCGAGGTGCTTCACTGCATCGCTCCATGCCGATATGCCGCCACTGGACTTGATGATATCAAGTGCAGCAGCGGGAGTGGCCGAAGCTGTTCCGCAAGATGCTGCGAACATGTGATGAAGCTGTGGCACCGCTCTTTTGTCAAATGTACTCTCGTCGGAGACGATGCCGAGCTGGAGCATGGCACACGTTTCGCAGCTCAAGCTGCAAGAGCTTGCCAGCACTTCGCAGTCGCATGGGACGTCGAGAACGCTTAAGGACAAGCTGTGGGATGCAGCTGCTGTGGCAAGCGCGAGAAACTTCAGACAGGATCAGATGGACAGTGACAGTGACGTTTGTTTCGCGGATATGGAAATGTTGATCGCTGCTGGCAGCATGTCCGACATGATGGAGCGGCAAACCGCAATAGATCTTCGCCAGGCAGTGGCCGAGGTTCTTGCATGCTGGGCAGCAGCTCGTGATTCCAGGGATTCCGGTGTTAAGCAAATCTCTTTCAATGAGCGAGCCGGAGCTGGGCAACTTCCCGAGGAGCCATGTGTGTTGCGTGCGCAGTCGCGCTTGTGTGTGCTTTGGAAGCCTCCCGGGTGGTCAGTGGTGGTTGGCCGTGACGACTTTGACTCTTCCGCAGAGGCGCCGAGGCGTACCGACACCGACCAGATGGAAGGGCTGGACTCCATGGATCAGGACATGAGTTCCTGGCTAGTGCGCACGTTTGGCAAAACCAACGCAATCGTGCTGGACGCAAAAAGATCCCACGGGCTCGTTCACAGGCTTGATAAGATGACATCTGGTGGTTTGCTGTGGGCGAGTAACTACAGTGGATACTATGCCGCACGGCTAGCCTTCGCGGCCCGCGAAACTTTGCGAAAGGAGTACGTCTGTTTGAGCGAGGGCTTGATCAAGCGCAGTCCACACTTGATCGCCGTTGCTCTGCGCCGGCTTGCAGAAGGCACTGATACTCGCAGGTCAGTGGCTGTGGCTGCGGATGCTTTGGGAGGCAGAGAAAGCTCGACAATGATACTCGATGCCTCCCATTGCATGACCCCGGAAGAATCCTGTGCTAGCTTCGTCAGAGTGCAGATCTTCACAGGTCGGCAGCACCAAATTCGAGCACATCTTGCAGAAAGTGGTCATGCACTTCTTGAGGACACGGCTTATGGAGGCAGTGCCGTGGCCTGGTGTCAGCGCATCTTTCTGCATTCCAGCCACCTGGAGATTGACATTGGCGATGGAAGTCTGGAGGCTGATGTCCCGTTACCTGCCGACCTGCAGAGCGCGGTCGCCTTTTTGAGGGCTCTGGATGGCCCCTCTCGTGTGGCACTCCGCAGGAGCCAGACAGGTCACAGCCGGACAGCCCAAAACGACAGAAAAACACAGAAAAGATGTCTGGCCGGTGCTTGCATTCAGTGCTGACAGTTCAGGCATTTTTCCTGATCCTGTCGTATGCCGAGGCGGCGGCAACAAGAAGCTTGCTGACGTGGGACCTTGGCTTCGTGACAAGCTCTTGGAACGCTTCAAGCAGGTCGGGGTCAGGGTCGTCAGATCATGTCTGTGCAAAAGTGCCCAGCAGCGATGCGAACCAGCAGTGCACCTTTGCTTACCTCGTCAGGTGAAGCTGCCGCTGACAGCCCCTAGCCTGATGAAGCCTATTCCGTGGCATTTGTTTGCTGCAGTTGTTGTGGTAATTGCCATGAAAATTATTGGTCTGGTGGTGGTAGTTTGGATGGCAGTAGCAGCCTCTGTTGCCACATCTTCCTACAGCAGAGGTCAAGTACATCGACCCAACCTATATGATCCGAGCCATCGGGCCAAATGCAAACGACAGTGGCCTGGCTTCAATTCGCACTTTGTCGCAGGAAGGCGGAAGGCAGCTGAAATCCAAGCTTAACAGAGAGACTCTCGCAGCAGGCGTTTACTGTTCCTCGCTGAGCCACAACGCGGTGCATGCCGCTATGGCGGGATACACAGGAATTACTGTGGGCCAGCGGCCGAGATTTGGATTCCAGCCAAGTACTGCTTGACAGAACTCCACATGCAGTGAACGCCCAGGCCAGATCAGCAGCAGACAAGTCTTGTTGCCGATTGCTTGCGTTACGAAGAATCCGCAGCATCTCACCTGCAGTAAGTTTGCGCCCTCCAACACAGCCGAGCCCGTCGCATCGATGCAGGAAGCGAGTTGACCTCAAGGGTCAAAGGCTGCCACATCCTGGGCTGTGCTCTTTTCGTTCCACATGGCTTCGGGCAGGTTCCAGGAGCTGGTAAGCTCCACTTTGCAGCCGAACCTGGCGCCAGAAGGTGCCGAGGAGGGGGTAGATCAGGCGCCGATCCCCGCCAGAGCCCCGACGAGAGTAGAAAGGAGTAGACCAGCGTCCGCAGACGGATGCGAGCACGCTGGGACCAAGGCGGAGAATCCCCTGCTGCACGATTCAGAGCCGGTCGAGCTCGTCGGCGCGATCGGAGAAGGATGTGAGGCGGGGGACGGGCCCTTCCAGCACATGCACGCCGTGTCCGCCTCGGCCGTTGATGGAGTGTTATGTGGACTCGCTTTTGCCGGTGGTCTTTGATTCCGCGGTTTCCAACAAATCTTGGGATCCTTGCATGTCACGGCCGGTAGGCGGAATTGACTGGCCATGGAGGGGCCAGTTTCTGAAACAGTAAAGCCGTACAGCTTATGACTGTTTGAATCGGAGGAGGTTCGCTGGGCATGTGTGTCTTGTCTGCCGGCGAGTGTTCGTCCTACATGACTTCTTTTGCACGATCTGCTGTTGTCTTGGCTCCTCTCCAACACTGCAATGTGGAGGTTCGGCGTCTTGAGCTGGAGCATCTGTCTCTCAAGTTTGGTGACCAGTCGGAGCCGACGACGCTGATGCAGCAGGTGGGGCTTTATGGGGCTTGTACGTCGGTCGTCCTGTAGCTATCGCAGGACTAGAGCTCCGTAATCAAAACCTGCGGCTGTGCCTGTAGTGTACGAAGTTGGAAAGGCGCAAAGCTGAGCACTCTTGTATGCCATACCTCCGAGGTGAAAGGAGGCAAGGTTTGCTTCTTCGATGAAGCTTCCTGGGTCTCAGTCTCTGAGCGCTCGCATGCAAGATGCAGTCCTGGTGGAAAGCATGCCCAGGTCACTCAGACACTCGGTCTTCCCGGTGTTCGCTTGCAGATGCTGAAGGCATGCTTCGGTTGGCGTGAACAGTGTCTGGCGCCGTCATGCAGCCGGGGGGCGGGGGAGAGAGTTCTTCCTTCTTGCAGGCTGGGCCACGAAAGAAGCTGTACTTCAAGCCACGGTCTTGGTCGCCGAAGTTTGGACACTTGCACCTGCTTCACCTCCTGACCGAGGCCGTCGGAGGTCGCAGCCACCATCGTCACCTGCCTGAGCCTTGAAAGCTGTAGTCACCTTTGTTCAAACAGCACACCATCGAAATCGAAGGTGGTGGCTTATGTCCTGGCTTGAACTCCGTCATCCGTGAGTTGGTGTTGGGCTCAGCACAAGCCCAGCTAAAGGCCGAAGCTGCATCACTAGTCGCGACGAGGTCATGATGCTCTACGCCTATGGCGTCAAGAAGGTGTACGGCATCAAAGGGGGTTTCAAAGGCCGGCCTCCATCGGATTTGCAGTGCGGAGACAAAGGTCCAGCTGCAAGCAAGCATAGTGATGCATCTTGCATGTTCATGTTTGATGTGGGTGGAGAGTTGCTACAGTCTGCGGTGGCCGGTGTATTTTCGGTCGCCGATTCGCTCTTTCACAGCAATGCTTGGCTGCTGCTGCGCTCCCTCTCCACCCGCTGCACAGTGCAGCCGACACACATGCAGGGCGTCCATCTCCCACGCACTTTCGCAGTCTGCATTTCTCTACAGTATTCATCAGTGCTCACAAGACTAGGCTCCTGCTGCCTGTCTTCACAGGTCTCGTCAATGCTTCTGAAGGCAATTTTACTGGATCGGGGGGCGATCCTGGAAGCCACTGTCGTCACATGAACGGCACGACGTCGTTTCCGTCCGCGCTAATTCGCTTCCTGTATTCCGGACACACATTGAAACTTCTCCCGTCGTTCTTAGATTTCTTAGTAGGTAAGGTGGTGCTTGTAGCGTATATGACTGTGTGGTGCTGGGGGTTTAAAAAATCGGGCCGGTGAAGGCATCAGTTCGAGTGTTAGCAGTTTTGGCGGAAGGCCCAATGTCTTCACTAGTCAAAGAGTCAAAGCTTCCGTTTGGTGATTTGACACCAATCACTTATGCTGTGGAAGGGCAAAGGCACCCTTAGCGGATCTGAAGTTGCAGGTTCAGTTTCATGTGCCAGGTGTCGTGAACCCACAGAGCTGGGTCACATTGACGCCCGAGAATGTGAAGGATATTCATCTGCAGGGCTCCTCGTCAAGACATTAACCCTCATTGACCGACATTCCTTGCGATTTGGGATCTTGAAGCAAAGGCGGGTCAATCCTTGTGAGCGATCGTGGGAATCCTGCTCACATTGAGATGGCCAGATTCCTGGAGTGCTCAACTTCCTTGCACGTGGCCCTTCACGGGAACATGCCGCCGTCTCTGACATGAACCATGCCGGGTGAGGCGAAAGCCTTGAAGAAGCGTGGCGTGCGTCAGCACTTCGTCTTGGGCGGAGACGGTACGCAGAAAGGCCTGTGTACAGCGCCATGTCCCGAGGCATTGCCAGACGACTCCAGTTCTGTCATTCGTAAGGTGCTTACCAGACGTACGAGCAAATGCAATCGATCGGCCCGGTCCTTGGAGGAAGCGTGACTGGTGCATGGTCTCCACTAGGCGAACGGTCTCACACGAGAAGTGCTTGTCGGTTGCAAAAAATCCGAAGACACAACCGGCCTGGCATCGCTTCGCTTGGCCTGAGGTTGGGAGTGTGCTGTCGTCGGCATTCCAAAAACAATCGACAACGACATCAATTTACTGGACTTGCTCTGGTGGCATGTTGTTTCAAGCAGGAAGGTTTTTTCCAAGCATTTGACACCGAACCGACAGGACCGCAGCTTCGGGTTCGACACTGCCATGAACCTTGGCTACACAGTGCTGCTGCATTGCTGCACGGCTGCTGCTTCACATTGCTTGAGGTCTAACGGACACATTAAAAAATCAGTCAACATTTCTAACTCCCTTGACTGAATCTTCGTCGTTTTAGAGAGCTCAGCTAAGGACGGAAGCGCAGAAAGCCATAGAAGTCGCGTACGTCGAAGCCACATGCAACGCAAACGCCATTGGCCTCGTGAAGCTCATGGGCAGGAGCCTCTCCTCAATGTGGCACGTCCATGGTAGACAGTGGCTGGGCAGTTGGGCACACCGCACACTCTGATACATGTACCGCCCGACTTCGGCAATGTGTGAATTTAGCGAAGCTTGCTTGGCATATTTTCGCACATGTTCTGGCCAGGCACTGTGGCTACTTGACAATGATGTCGGTCTTGGCTGCTCGTCACGTCGACATCTGCTTGCTCCCGGAGATGGACATAAATCTCGAGAAGGTGAACGATGGGCTAAGTAAGACTAGTTGGTGGCAGCTTGACCGTTGGACCTCCAGACCTGCTACCGAAGATAGCTTCACAAGTATGGGATGCAGGCAACAGCACGAAGCTTGTTTCTGATGTCTTCAATCTCCGATCTCCCCTGAAGGTCCTCGATCATTGCGTAGAACTTGTAAGCACAAGTGGGTATGCCGTGGCTTGCATGCAAAAATTTGCGCTGGGGCGGTGACTTGTGAGTTGGTCGCTCGCCTCTGTTTCATGGCAACAGCTGCACAATGCTCGGACCAGAAGGGTGCCTGGACTTCCTGTAGTTGTGCGGGGGAGAGGCGCAACCCTCTGCTCGAATTGAGGTGGTCGTGGTCGCGGAAGGCTGTGGAGACACACTGCTTCACAGCTCAGGAGAGTTTGGAACACCGAGTGTGCGATGCTTTGCACGGCAGGGCTGTCTGTTAGCCTTGATTGGCGAGGAGCAATTGACGAAGGTGGAAACAAGAAGATCAACGATGTCGGGCCGTGGCTGAAGGCCGGAAATGAGTAGGAAAGCAGAAGTTGTCAGAGGCCGAAGATGTGAGTCTGCGCAAGACTGACTCCCCGCAGGATGCCATCACGTCGCATTTCAAAACCTTGAAGCACCCTGGTTCCGGCATTTATAGTGCGAGTGCCATAAACGCAAGGACGCCTGGATGTCTGATCCTTCTCTGCCTTCCAAGGCTGCCAATTACCATCAAGTACGTGGACCCGACCTACATGGTGCCACCCCCTGGGGTAGTAGTTCTCACGATCCGGCTCAGCAATCGCCGGATGCACCCTCTGGAACATAGCACGTTCTACAGCCTGCAACTGCTCGCATCAGGTCCGTGCCGTGCCTGCCAATCCCAATGACAGCAGCCTGGCCAGTTGCTCTAAACGAGTTGCAGGATGAAGATTCCTGTGGAAGCTGAGGTATCTATTGCTCGGAGCTGGCGCAGGCAGCCGTGCATGCTGCCATGGCCGGCTACACAGGTGCAACTGTGGGCAAGGTCGATCAGCAGGCGGGAGCTCGCGCAGCCAGCATCCTCTCGCAATTCCATCTCCTGGCCCCACCTCCGAGCTCCAGATTAGACTTGTTGTACAGGTCGTGTACCTTCCCATCAAGATGCTCGTGACTTCTCTGCAGCCAGAACTGGCGTAACTTAACTCCGTTCTCGCACTGCAACCGTGCATCCGAAAACATGACCGAGACCTCGATGCCCAGCCGTGTTGTCGACATCAATGGCCGATGGTTCGAAGCCCTGCGAACCACGACGCAACAGCCAAATCTTGCGCCTTGACACAAAGCCAGGTAGAGAAGTTTGAACTTTCGTTTTATTTTTGGTTCTGTTCGTCCGAGGAGTGGGTCGGCAATGCTGCGGCCAAGCCCATAGATCCTACAAAAAAGCAAGGCTTGCAAGGCTTGCTGCGGTCCCGACGTGCCGGCCCTCATACCTGCTGCTTAGCCGCGTGTTTGGCATGATTTGTCTTATGTCCTGATGCCTGCTTTGTGGCACGCTGTCTGTTCGAGTCGCTTTCTCTCGGACTCTCGGGCCCTGGCCTCTGTTGCCTTTCTCCTTCCGCCTTGTGTTGGGGCACATGCAAAGCCCAGCCAAGGGGCTTTCCATCCTTCTTGGATATCTGTTCTGCACCTTTTTGATCGTTCGAGCAAGGGAGCATACACGCAACAACAACTTCAAGAACAAAATCAGCAAGTGGGGGGGGGGGGGGGTGGTTNNGGGGGGGGGGGGGGTGTGGGGATGTAGAGCTTCTAGCACATGTTTCATCAGGATTGATTGGCTTGAAAGCTGCTGTCCAAGGGACAAGGGGGAAGAGCATAGACGACTTGGAGAAGTCCGATACGCTTCGTGTTCCAGACACGACGCTGACCATCATGGACGGTGTCCTGGCAAGATGCTAGAAAAGGTTTGCGATGTTTCTTGCATGTCGGCTCCATGCAAACTCAGGATTCGGGAGGGTCCGGGAAAGTCGGCCTTTGGCCAGAGATGACCTCATACAGGACGGTTCTGAGGTGAACGACCAAATCTGACATGTAGACGCTATGCCCCAGTCATCTCATGTCCTGATGCCTTCACGGCACAAGTACTTGATTCGTGCTCTGCATTTATGCTGAGAAGTGCAGGACAGCACAGAGCTACGCTCCCTTCAATGTTTCAATCTGAGCCGCTTGGTTTGGGAAGGTGTGGCAGATGCTGGTCGTCAGTTGCGACGTGCGTCGATGCTTTGTTTGCAGACTTCCTTCCGTTGACATGGTCTGGGTGGTCTTTGGCTGAGGTGAGCGCTATGGGACGTTTGACATCCCATCCACTTTAAAGGGTGTCAGACTGTCTGGGTCTGAGACGTGATGTCGTGGATGCGCATGAACCGCAAGTGCCTGCCTTTCACTGAGGTTCAGTGACAACTTCTCGTGGACTTCTCAAGCCCTGTTCCTCGGAAATCGTCGGGTGCCGAGCGCGGCCTGCGCTTGAGTGCATGAGATCATGAAGTACAGCTACGTGGGGCATGGCAAGGTCTGGACTCTGGCAGAGGGGTCCCTTACTTCAAAATGCCTGGGGCTCAGTGCGCAGCAGCCGTATATGTGTTGGAGAGATGTCTCTCAGCCAAGGACTCGTGCAGGTCCGCGCGAGTTTTTGCATTTTGATCCGCACGACCCAGCATCGGCTGCTGCCATCATCAGCTGTGGCGGGATTTGCCCTGGCTTGAACTGTGCCTTGGCAAAGCCACCAAGACCACCCCAGAGCATATGCCGTAAGCTGGCTCTTGTCATTGGAGAAGCACTGTGGGCTTTAGGTGTCATCCGCGAGATTGTCAACACCTTGTGGGCCTATGGCGTGCGTCGGATCTACGGCATCAAAGGCGGCTACAAGGGACTTCTGGAGCCAGACACGTGGTTGCTCGGCAAGGGGTGCTCGCCGTGTTGCAGAGGCCAGCAGATTAGCACCAACCGTATTGAGGTTGGAGCTCAACCCCGAGGTTGTCAAGGACTGAGCGGTCACAGCTAAGGATGGGCTTAGGGTAAGTTAGGATAAGCCATCAGAAGTTCTAGTTCTGCCAGGACATACACACGGAAGGTGGCACAATGCTCGTCAGTGACAGAGGCAACCCGCCCCACTTGGAGACTTGTCTGCAAACGCCATCCCGCATGACATGGTGACTTGTTGATGTGCGGTTCATGTTTTAGATCTTGCACAGCCGAGCGAGGTGTGAGAGCCTAGTTAGCTCGAGATGATGCTGAGAAGTGGGCCTGAATGGTTGTAAAAATCTCTGCAAAGGCATGGTGCTCCCGAGTGCATATTTGGGTGAAGCCCTGCGCGACCAAACCCACGTCGTGATTCAGGTGTTGCGAACCCGAGCGGGATTCCAAGCCACGGTTCCTCGTTGTTGTCGGTGGGCTGAGGACATGGCCAGGGCCTTGCAGAGCAAGAACGTCCGACAGTACTTCGTGCTGGGTGGACCCTGGCATGCTGATCAAACCCTGGGGAGACTAGTCTCTTTATGAAGAGGTGAGATGGGTAGCATTGCTGCAGACTTGTGAAAACTGTGAAAATCTGAATCTGTTAAACACTTGGACGTTGTGAAGAAGAAAATACATGCGTTTTAAGTCCGCGAGTCCATTTTGCAGTCTGATCAGTCTGTTTGCAATTGAAGTCTGTCTGCGGGTCGGTTTTGGGTCCGTTTCGTGTCCGTTTGGGTCCTTCTGGGGTCTGTGACGGTCTGTGTGGGATCCGTTTGGGATCGTTTGGGGTCCGTTTGGGGTGCGTTAGGCCGATTGAAGACCGTTTGGGGGTTCAAACATGGTTTTGCCTGATCAGCGAGGCACACGACCCCCAGCTCATAACCCAAAAGCGGATCCAAAGCCCGATTTCCCATGGCAGATTTTCACAGCTGGTACACTGTAGTGACTGTAGTGCTGTCCTTTCAATGGCAGGTGGTGATGGAACGCACAAGGGGGCCATGCAGACCTTCAACGGCATGATGGCATCTTGGATGAGAGTTCTCCATGTGGGGTCATCAGAGACCCAAAGCAACAGGAAGTTCAGCTCTGTTTCAGCGGCTTGTCGTAGCTTTCTCCTTTCGTTCCGGGACCTGCCTCATGTGCCATATGGTGAACTGAAGATCAAGGGTAGTGCGACCAGTGCATGCTTTGGTCGTGAGTAACAGGTTATCGCTTAGTTAAGCAGATGTTGTGCATGAGTGTGCTTAGTCAATAGCAATAGCATGATTTCATCACAGCTTGATCCCTCCGGTGTTTGACAGCCGATTGATGGACCCTGCATTCTTCCAGCAAACGTTCTCCGAACTGGGATACACTTTCAACAACCTGGAATGTGACAGCGCAGGCTGCATCGTTTGTGCACAAGCCACGCGGCGAGGCTGTCCTTTGTTGGCGATACCACTGACGAAGTGTTGGACGAAAAAAGCGGTCCGACAAAGTTGCAAAGACGTGAGCACGGCCTTGGCGACAGCTCTGCGCCGGAATCCCGACAGCTTCCTCCTGAGTCGCGACTCGACATGGATTGTGTTGCACGTTCTGTACACGCACAATCACGGGCAGCTGGCTTCGATGCGTCGCCATGTCGAGCGTCTTAAAGAAGTTACCGGCACGTTGACCTCGTGGCCTCAAGAAGACATGGAAATCCTCCGTCCAAGCTTCTGGTGGGAAGAAGGTTGCAGAAGAAGGCAGCAAATCACAATTGACTACTCTGATTTGCGATCTGACCTCGGGCCTGAGATTTGCAGGTTTCTGGGAATCACGGAATCGAGCTTTAGATGGGGACGAGAAGCCCTGCAGCAGCTTGGGTTGAAGATCCATGGAGAAGATCCGTCAGTACCCATGCAGTTGTTGGTCCCCGGCTTCGAACTTCTGCCCACAGAAACGCAAGCCACGCCTGATCCGTACGCTGTCCAGCTCGTTTCTACTCCGAACGGTCCTATTCTGATTGTTGCTGCAGGCAAGGATTATGAATGTGGAGAGGCATTCTTTTTGTCGCATGGCGGCCTGCTTGTCTCATCCGGTGCGCAGCTGGCAACAAGCGGGGTGCTGTTGGATCGTGTGACAGTTGATCCGGAGAAGTTTCCTTGGGAAGGTGTCGTTCTTTGCATTGAGTTGCGTACGGATTCCATGAGAGAAGATTCGGACGAGAAGGCGGTCTTCTTCTTTCAGCTGCAGGAGTCCTTGGGACAGGCCCTTCGCGATGCCTCGCCAACATGGAACAAACCCGGCCTGTGCGTGGCTCCGACCCCCTTGGAGGAGCTCTCAGCAGTTGAGTGCGGACTTGACGATGAGCTGCTGCTCCGAGTATACATTTGCAACGACCGACCCTTGCCGCCGGGTCCGTGCCTTCAGATTCTCGGAATGGCTGCACTTGCTGACTCCAGCAAACAGAGAGACATCCTCATGAATGAGTGTGCCTGGGAGGGTGTTTGGGAAGATTCTGCGTGTGAATCGCGTGGCTTACAGTTTCTGGTGAATGAGATCCACGCAGCTCTGGCCCAGTACCCAACCGATGAGAACATCAGAAGCAGAGCCTATGATGGAAGCCCGCGGACTGATGCGCTGTGCTTCGACCTGCTGCAGAGGGAGAGGCAGATGTTGGAGTGCGCGGCAGAGGCCGGGAGTGCAGGAAAACATGCGTGACGTACGAATGCTTTCCCAAGCGAGTAGGAGTGCCCGGCCAGCGCTGACGAACAAGTGATCTTTACCCGGTTGCAAAGCTCAGTCAGTTGCAGGCAGGACTGAAGCGTTTGGAATCCTTCAAGCAGACAGCTCCATCGCAAGAGCTGCCACAGCCGTCGCAGCAGAAGCGCGAGTCTCTGCGAGATTGGGCCTTGGAAGCTATGGCGAAGCTTGGCATCTCTGGCACTTCTGCTTTCCCTGCCATGTCTTCCTTCCATTTCCACTTCAAGAGCTGAGTCGTTGGGTAAGGACTGGTTTGATGGAGACGGCCCGCAAGTTTGAAGGGCTCGCTCGCAAGGAGTCGCTTGGACAGGCCAGGGCCAAGGGCCGACCGAGATGGGGAAAAGCTTTGACTTGCCGCCTTTGACTCGCTTCTCGCCATGCAGGCCTTGGAGCAGCAGCTGGAACTGCAGCTGGCCATGCTTGCCAACCTCGGCTATGCCCCTCTGTCCGCAAAAAAGTGTAGAGGTGGAGCGATCTCGCTCTTCTCCAGAAAGCCCTCAAAGGGCCCCAAAGCCACTGAGGACCTTGCAAAGCTGAGAGGAGGAGATCCGGACGCTCCCGGGCCCCCGCTTGGGCGGCCCCGGCCGCTTCACCGAGTGGAGGATGCCGGCCTCCGGGCACAGCTGGCTCAGAAGCGCTGGCAGCGAGGCCGTCGTGTTGAGTAGATCTGTCAGGACCGCTGAAGGTTCAAGTTTCCAGAAGCTGTCTAAGCAAGCCTCGAGGGTTCCGCCGACTCCAGATATTGGAACGCAGGTTGAGTGTCATCGGCTTTCTTTGAGCTTAGACTGGAGTTGTCACGATTCAGACAGATGGCGTTCCGTTCTGCTTGTAGGGCCCGATTCCTCTCAGTATGGACGTAGCGCACACAACGGAGAAATCAGCAAGAGTCCCAAAATCCCCATCCGATTTATTTCACCTGGTAGCTTCTCGGTGCTGAGGCAACGAATGGAAGAGACTGAGATATAAACGTCGTTGCGTTTCCAGGTTTGTATGAAAAGTCGTAGATACCCTTACCGTCACCTACTTGTCCTGGGCGGCATGGCTGTTTTTGTGTTGGATTTACCGCATACAATGTCAGTACGGCGCAGTAGCGTCAGCACAGAAGCTTCCAGTAACAGCGGATCACGAGGCGAGGATGTTTCGATCTAGCCTTTTTTGTGTCAGGCTTAGGTGGAGAACCTGACTCTCCTCGTGATGCGGCGCGGCTGTTGGAGCTTGCATCCCTGCACCTTCGACTGGGTGAGCTCGAAGCCGCGCGCGGTGACCTATCGGATGCGTTGGAAAGGAATCCTGAGATGCCTGAGGCCAAAGCTTTGCTCGAAGCGACAGAGGCAGTATCCCGAGAGCTTCCACAAGCCGAGCAGTACTCTTTCGATTGGGCAGACGGAGAGGATGCAGAGGATGCGCTGTCCGTTGTATCTGAGGAAAAGCCAGTCCTTGCTCCGCGTGCAAGTCGGCGTGCGGCTTTTCCTCCCCGCCGCAGTCGCCCAGTGCAGAGAAGGGTGGTCCTGGACCGCAGGACTGAGAAGAAGCCTCTCGGGATGAAGGTGCGACCCTTTCTGAGTGGCTTCGAAGTGCAAGAGGTGCTGACGCATGGATTGGTTGCTGACTGGAATTCCGCCGTCCCGGGGGACGCTTCTATAGGGCCTGGTGATAAAGTGGTGCAAGTCAACGACGTCAGAGGTGAAGGTCAGAAGCTTCTGGCAGAGTGTAGCATCTCAGACCGACAAGCGATCATAGTGAATTCCATTTTGCAGTAGGTCTTCAGCCAGACTTGAATAAGCACGAACAGATGCACAGGCAAATTTGGGTTTTTGCTCCACATGGCTTCCCGCACATGTGTTTATGCATCTGCTAGTCACCTTCTGCCTATACACTCGTTCGGAAAGCTGTCTCGCCCCGTTTCCCTGGTGATTTTCCGTGAGGCAAGAGGCAACTTCTCTACGTGGTGTTAGCTCCTCGGGAAGATCCCGATGTCGCAAGATGCCCGCCGAAGGCTGAGAGCAGAACTGAGCACCCTGAGTCTTGGCATTTGAGTAAAACGAGAGATCATTCCTTGATCCGAAATCCTTTTGCTTAGCACGGTATGTTGACATGCGAGTGGCTAAGCGCTGTCGCCAGTAGGGTCCCGGCATTTCAGGAGACTGCTACGTGGAGTGACGTCGCCCTGCAAAGGCTCTTGGGATTCACACCGCCTTGCTTATGCGATTGGTTGTGGCATGCCACAGCACCACCCGTGGAAGTGCATGTGATGGACAGCACAAGGAACATGGCCGTCATCCACTTTCCGGGATGTACGTGGACACACGAGGTCAAACAGGTACTGGAGAAGAAGATGGGATGCCAGCGATTCAATTTCAAAGCCGGAAGCATGGCTCACACGCTCGGTGAGCTTGATGTGGTCCTTCTGCCCCTGGTCACGGCCCAGGCCAAGGACGAAAGCCAGAGCCTGACAGCACTTCCGCTTGAAATCTTTCACTTTCTCAGCGAAGCCGGGGCTTTGTCTGCGCCGTTGCGGATCGTTGCGCTAACATGTGGGGCACATGGCCCGGATTGTGCCGGGGCACAGGACGACGGCTTCGGCATGCCTGCTGCAGCAAGCTTGCGGGGAATGTTCCGATGCTTTCGGATAGAGCATCCTTCATTCCCCATCCTGCACATCGACACGGATGCCCTGGGCATTCCAGGCAAGGCCGAGGAGCTTCAGAGGCAGGTCGAGGCCGAGCTATCTCTAACTGCCGATCTCGGCAAGAGGTCCTTGGTTTACACCGGTCGCGAGGTTGCGTACCGCAAAAGCCGCCGCTTCTTGCCCAAACTGGATATTTGTGGTCAGCGCCCCCCCGTGAGCAAGAGATCAGTGTCAAGCGAGGGGGTGGCAGTCATTACCGGAGGCACCGGTGGGCTCGGCATCACCACTGCGGAAGCAATGGTTGATGCCGGAGTCCGCTGTGTGGTGCTTTCCTCGCGCTCAGGTGCGATTTCGGCCACAGCACCAGGCAATTTGGTGGAGCGTGTGGCGAAGCTCCAGCAGTCGGCATCTGTCATCTTGGAGGCCTGCGATGCGGCAGATGAGAAGCAAGTTGTGTCCATGTTGGACCGACTGCGTAAGCAGCATGGCAACCTGCGGTGGGTGGTCAATGCAGCTGGAATAGTTCTTCCCAACGAGCCCGAGAAGCTAGAAGCCGTCTTTGTTCCCAAGTGCCTGGGCGCTTGGAATATGCACAAGCACACACAGCATGACGACCTTGAGGCCATGTGGTTTTTCTCCTCGCTTTCTGGCGGCATTGGTTCCGAGGGCATGCACAACTACGCGGCTGCAAACTGTTATCTTGATGAGCTGGCACGGCTCCGGCGGTCCCAGGGTCTGCCAGGCGTGAGCCTGCAATTCCCTGAAGTGGAGGAGGCCGGGATGGCCGCGGCCTTCGGCACCAGAAGCAGTGGAGCGACGGTGAGCCTGGCAGTTGTGCGGAGAGCCCTCAAGCAGCTAATGCTGGGTGAAGGAGACCCAGCCGCCGTCGTGGCCCTGCTTCCTGTGGGCTATTTGATCCCACGGTCTGTGTTCCACATGACTGCGCTGGAACCGCTGAAGGCCCGAGTAGATCAGGATCTTTGGGCAAATCTGGAAAGGCTGGAGGGCGAGAAGAAAGATGAAGTGAAGTCGATGCGGAAGGAGATCGCTGAAAGAAGGCAGGCTGCACGTCTGACTGAAAACGGAGCGGAAGCCAGCATGCAGTCATGCAGTTCTCTGGTACTGTCCGAGCTTGACATGGGATCCCAGATTGAATGGTCTTCTCGCCAACAGGCCAGCGAATAGACTAACCCTTGAAGGTCGTGATACATAAGCTGTAACAATCACTTCCTGGAATCAGTAGGAGGAGGGCTCTGGCTCTGGCTCTGGCGCGCTCTCTCTCTCTCTCTCTCTCTCTCTCTCTCTCTCTCGCTGTCGCTCACACGCTCTCGCAGCTCCAAGCTCCGTCTGCTTGAGCCATCTTGCAGTCCAAGGAGATTGATCATGAGTGCGCAGTCGTCGGTGTGCCGAAGACAATCGACAACGAGATTTGGCTTCAGCTAGCCTCCTGAACTTTGGGAAATTGCAGACCAGCTGCTTTTGTCCAGGACGTGCCCATGGTTGACCAGACCTTTGGCTTCGACACAGCATGCACGGAGGCAGCCAAAGCTGTCAACTCCGCGCTGCTCGCAACGAAGAGCTGTTCTTTCATTGAGATGTGCTTGTCATTGTCAAATGAAAGTAGGAAAGCTTCCGCAAGCAAAGGTACGTTGAGGCAAGGGGTAACGACTCTCAGATGCAGCAAGCTGCAATGGAAAGAGCACGTGCGAGGGTGGCCCAGGGTGGCCGGCAACAATTGTTCTTGCCAAGGCCAACTGCATTGGTCTTGTCAAGCTTATGGGGCGTCACTGTGGCTTCATCGCCATGAATGCTGCCCTGGCTGCACGCAACGTCGACATATGCCCCCCAGCTGCGAGGTAGAACAGGCTGAGGGACTGCAGCGCTCGACGACAGCAACGGCTTGTTTCGTCTCCCCATGCACGTATCAATTCAGGTCTCATCCCTGAGATGGATATTGATCTAGAGAAGGCCGGAATTAATTGTGCTTGTACCGATTGCTGCAAACTGTTCGAAACACGTGAGTGTTGCAACGCCGTGCAAGTCCTGCTGTTGGCTTTGTAGAGGTATTGAACCATACGGAGCACCTGATGCGCACGAAGGGCCATGCCGTGATCGTGGTGGCAGAGGGCTGTGGCGACACGTTGATCCAAAGCTCCGGGGCGACGGATGCAGGCTGGTGCATGGTTGGTCAGTGCCAGGTGCTGGCCACATAGCTTCAGTAGAAAGTAAGTGGATAGCACCGAAACAAGCCAAGCCGTTGCCGAACATTGCAACGCAGAAATACCGCAATGCTGGCGGAGCGCATGCTGCCTTTGGAGACAGGTGGCAACAAAATCCTTGCAGACGTGGGGCCATGGCTGAAAGATACCATCACTGCCCGTTTCAAGTCTTTGGGCTTGCCGCTCACGATCAAGTACATTGATCCCACGTACATGAGACTTACTGAAGATTAGCTTGTGTGAGTGCGCCTTGCCGGAGGATCCGTAGGATTCGTGGCCGGGCCAACATGCTTGTTGGAGACATCTGCCCAGGATCCGCTCGGTTCCGGCCAATTCCTTCGACAGCACCTACTGCTCAGTGCTAGGGCAAATGGCAGTGCACGGAGCGATGGCCGGCTACAGTGGCATCACTGTTCCTCTGCTGCAAGTTGTCTCCAGATGTTGGTGTGTTGACCTCCGGACTCGGTGTTTCATGTACTCCTTTGTGCGAGGTGGGAAAGATTTATGAGCGATCCTTGCCTAACTTGATGAAAGATAGTATTCACACGTGCAGTCGATGCAGCGGGCCGCCTTCGGAAGCTGAGGCTATTGCTACTTGCCAATTCATGCCATCACCAATCAGAAAGGCAAACGCCGCAAGCCAAGAGCGACGCAGCCTGTGTCATCATGCGCCGTGTTGGACTCGAATGCTGCGCCTGCTTCCGTAAGCCAGAAGACCATCAGGCGTGAACCCCAATGGTCGATGGTTCTTCCGTATGCGCGAGTCGACAAAGCAGCCGGACTTCCGCCGTGACCGCAGTAGTGGCAGAAGTGCGCAGGCTTTCGCGTTCCCAGTATGGGCTCAAGGTCCCGACATCCCTTCTGCGCCTCCGAAGTCAGCAGGGACACAGGACGTGCTGCAGGTGCGTCCCACCGTCAGCTGAATTGAAGCCTTCACTCAGCCCTGTGGGCACGTTTGTTGTATGAATGCGAAGCCAAATTCTGCTTACATGCATTGTCGGCATGTAGATAGCACGTACCTATTCCTCTCGCAGCTCCGGCTCAAGCCGCTGCTGGGTCCTACTGCATCAAAGCAACTTGAGCAACGCGGCATAAGGAGCCTCCCTGCAGCCTTGCATTTCTACACCCTTTATGTCAGCACGAGCAAGCAAGTTGACAACAACAAGCCCTGAGATCCCTCCACACGTCGCATCGTTGATAGCTCGGACCAGGCATTGCTTGGGTTTCGACGCGTGGCACATACAGTGCAGCTCCTCTCGCATGGACTTCCGGTCCGCGGAGCTGCTGTTTGCTTGGGACCCTCACCTGAAGTCTCAAAAGTACTTCTGCCAACTCCAATAGCTAGCCGTGAGCATGCATCTGACAAGGCAGTTTCCCTGCTGGTTGGCTGTCTGCACTATGTTGAAGTTTCAGGCCGGCTTGGATGTTGTTCGGCAAAGAAAGCATGGATGGAATTCTGTGGTGCAGGATACAACTGCATCACCACGGGCCTTTCCGTGGCAGAACAGAAGGAAGCATTCCTCAAAACCGAGAGCCTGGGACATGCAGACGGAACACTGAAAACAGACGTGTCTCTTGATCGGTGGCTAATCGTCTGTATGGCAGCCAAGGAATGCATTCTACTATTCTTACTATGCGGCTTGACTGCCCGCATACTCAATGCAGCAGTTGCGACAGTACAGAATTTCAGACCGCCACGACTACGAAGCAGCTCTAAAGTGACTCTAAAGGCTTTGCTTGGCTTTATCTTGGGCCACTCTTCCCTTCCGGGGAGTGTCCAGGTGCTTCAGAAGCATTTTGCTGGCTGGTTCTGTCGTGTAGCAAGGAGGAGTTCGTGATCGCACCGGACCTCGGCAGCGCGCTGGGGTCCAGTCTCTACGACCGCCGAAGTGAAGCCCCCGACACCATCAACGCGCTGAAGCGCTCGGCCCTCAGTCCTGAACCCGGGATTCTGTGAACTCCATGTTCCTGATCGGGGAATTCAGTGCAACCGATAATTTTGCACTTTGGGACTTTGGGCAGTTGCAGGCAAAATTGCCCCTCAGAGCAAGCAGCAAGACTCACAAGAGTTGCTGCTGATAACTGAGGCTTCAATGTCTACCAGGAAGTGATCTGTGGTGCATTGTACCGCCTAGCCGTGTGGTTATGCGGGCGCTGTGGCCCCAGACAGGTGGCGGTCTATTGACGTGGGGGCTCGGGTATCCGACGCCTCTGTGTGGTATTGCTTTGGGGTTGCCACAGGGCAGTGTCTAAAGCTATCGAGATGTCGCAGAGGCTGAGGTCCGGGGTGGACCAAGTTGCACATGTTGCACCCACGTGACATTTGATGATGTGTGTTGGTCGTGGGCAAGCATCGGTTCCTCATTGAGGTCACAACGTGGTCGATCCGTGGTATTTCTTCCGCAGCTGCAGCTATGTGACCTTTGCGCACATGGGTTTTCATTGGCGGTAAGTCGCGAGCTCACACATGAAGCTTTGGGTATCTTCCACGCAGCTGCGAGGTGTTGCAGGGTCTGGGCCATGTTGGGCTTCTTCGCCTGGCAGCCGCTTTGGGAGGGGATGGCGTGCTTGGGGGCTTAGTGCCAGGCAGCTGGCCTCAACGGATGACAGTCGAGTGTTCCCTTGCAGTCTCATTGAGGTGTAATGCACATGTGCGCGTAGGAACAAAAACTCCTGTGGTCGCCGAAGCTTTCGACTCGACCGCTTTTTCGAATTGTCCTCCTGCGAAATCCGCCCCGCCTCGCCTGATCATGGCCTCGTCTGGCGCCCCTTCCGCCTTCAACGCCGAGGCCGTGGCCGACTTCATGGCGGCCGCCTGGATCTGGCTGGTGGTCCTACGTCCGCGTCGGCGCCTACGAACTTCCCTGGAAAGGCCGCCTCGGGTGGTGCCCAAGACTCGGGGCCGACCGACCCCGGCGTCCTCGACTTGGTGTCTCTTATCGAGCTTCTCCGGCTGAATTCTTGGCCTCCCGCCGCCCAACATGTCGTCCAGGGCATGTAGCTCCCCCTCACAGCGGAACCAAAAAAACATGTGGCCCAGATTGACCAGTGTTGCAGGGAGGCGGAAACTGCGGCTTTATCGGCTTCGCGGCCCTTTTGGCTTTGGTTTGCCAAGGAGGTGTTGCCAAACAGTCGCTTTTTTAAGAGCTCTAAGGCCGTGTGCCTGCTGCCGATGTGTGGCGGCTAATCTTGGATCACGATCCCTCGGTATTGCGCCGTCATTTGGATGGACAGCTTGTTGTGCTTCGCAGGATTGGCAGCCGGGCGCACCCAAGCTGGCCCAGGTCCTGGATTTTTGGAAGAGCTTGGCCGAGGGTGCGGTCCCCGATCCTGGCAAGCATAGAATTTCCAGTGCCCGTAGCATCCTGTAGCGTGGTTTCAGTTTTTTCAAGCTTCAACTCCCGGTTTTGCAGCGTTGCCTGTGCTGGTTGGTTGCCGCGACCAAGCTGCGGCTAGTCCTTTGGCTTGGGATCGCGTGACCCTTCCCGTGCTCCACGGTGATGCCTTCTTCCTCGACAGCCTTCCTGAAGGTGGGCCACTTGGAGCCAGGCGGCATCATGCACCTGGTCCCACGACCCACGGCTAGGGCTTTATCCAAGCAACGTCTTCTGCGACTTCGATGTTGTGCGGTCGGAGCGCTTGGAGCCCTTCGCGGCCCGGCTGGCTTTCATCTATGTCCTGGACGGTCCTCCCATTCCTCCCGCTCGTGTGCCATCGCCTTCATTGACAATGTAGCGGGTCAGTTCGCCATCATGAAAGGCTATGGGAAGGACCCAGTCTGGCATCCGAAAGGGCATGGACGCCCGGAACGTGTCCGACGACATGTGGGCGACGACTTTCGGGCCTGAGTAAAAGGGCCGGACCACGGTACGGGCACTAGTCGACGAGGTGTCGGCGAGGCGGCCGTCGACATCAACTTCGCCAGCCATCGGGCGCCTGAGCGGCTTTCAGATCTTGCTATCTGGTAGGAGTGCCGGCGCCTTATGGGTGGTGCATGGGTGTGCGCATCCTGGCGCCGGCACCTGTTTTCGGGGCGGTGTGCCTGGGCGGGTGCAGTTGACGCTTCGACCAAAAAGGGACACTGCACCTGTAGTAGATTTTGGCAAGCACGTCGTTGGCTTGGATTTTGTTCTCGCTGCAATGGTTGTGGCTGTGCATGATTCAGGCATCTCCCTCTTCATCTTGGCTTTTCTACACCGGCTGGATTTCAGCCGCATCCACGATGTGGGCATGCTGGAACTGCGCGAGCTTTTTGGCTGAAGGGTCGTGCAGATTGGCAAAGACGAATTACGGCAATGCTACTGTAGTTCGGCGCGACTGCGCGGTCATCGTGCGGTGCTCGTAGTCGTTCCTCCCTTGCTGTCTCGTGGAGCTTCGAGGAATTGGGCCATGCCAGTCATACTGTGCCAGGCTGGGTGCCTCCACAAATGCAGTTGCCATCGCCATGGCCCCCCTCCCTCCAAGGTGTGGGCTTTGACGAAGTTGCTCATGACACACCCGTCACTGTCCCACGAAAGCTCATGGGAAGCTTGGCCACAGGTTTGGAAGTGGGGATGGCGAAGAAAACAATGTGTTTGTCAGGAAGCCCTGTTCTCAGGAATTTATGGCCTGGCGATGGGCTTTCAGATCGCTGACCGTGGCTCGTCATCGCATACTCAGATGCTTCGAAGCGAGTGAAAAGAGTACACTCGAGAGACGGGTGCTACATCAAAGACATAGCTTGGACTTAGGTGATGTGCATTTTGGCCGCTTGCCTAAAACTGGAGGACGAGCGACTTCGAGTCGCACATCTTGTGACACTTGAGGTCTGGCAGTTCTCCGCCTTCGCTTTTCTGCTGCAAGTTTCGGCGGCTTTCTTGTGTGCTCTTCTGGCTTGCCACCAAGGTGCCGAAGCTTTGTTGAGGGTTTAGGATAGTGATAAAGCATCGATGCTTCCGGTCTTAATGGCCCAGATTGGTTCATGCTGGGGCTCTTTGGGCCTCAGGCGCGAGACTTGCGATGAACGAAGTCGTGAACTCCCACTTGGTGGCGGTAGCAATTGCTGCTGTTTTGCTGTTCGGAAACGAGCTCTTGGTGCACCACCTGCTGGTCACGCAATGCATTGCGATCAAGATCCTCGAATATGTACGCATGTTTGGCAAGTTCCGCACAACACAGTCGGCAAATGACGTGTGTGGATTGTGGCCAGTGGTTGGCTATGTGGGAAACGGTTTATTATTTTTTTTTTGGTTTTTGTTTTCTGCTTTTCCGCTTTGACTATTTATACATGTTTTCATATTGTTTTGCGTTGTTTGTTGTTGCTTGTACTTTAGTTTGCTTTTTGCTTGCTTGTTGTTTTTGTTTTTGTTTGCTTGTTGCTGTTTAATTTTGTGTTTGTTGCTTTTTTGCTTTGTGCTAATTGTTGATAAACACCTGTTAATATTGAATATCTGAGAATTTGCGTTCGAGTTTTCCATTTCACACTCTAACTGATCGGTGAGGGGATGTGTTTAAGATGTATGCTGGCCGGAATCGCCAAAGGCGGGGGGTGTGGGGGGGGGTATGATGAACCGGAATCGTCAAATGACGGAGGTTGTTTAAGATATATGATGATCCGGAAATGCGAAATCAGGAGGTTTGTGCAAATTTTATGATATATGATGAATCCGGTATGATGAATCCGAATCTCCAAATGAGGGGTCGTATTTCAGATATAGGAAATATCTGAATCGCGAAATGAGGGAACGTCTTCAAGATAGATGATGAATCGGAATCGTCATATGAGGGACGTATTTAAGATATATAATGAATCGGAATCTCCAAATAACGAGAAATGATCAAGATATATAAAGAATCTGGTATGATGAATCGGAATCGCCAAATGAGGGGGCGTATTTTAGATATATAATGAATTCGAAATGCTCATTCAGGGAACATATCCAAGATATATGCTGAACCTGAATCGCCAGATCAGGAGGCGTGCTTAAACTACATGATGAGTCCGAATCGGTCAGCTGAGGGGCATATTCAAATTATATGACGAACCAGAATCGCGAAATGAACGGGCGTGGTTAAGATATATGATGATTTCGAATCATTAAATCATGAGGCGTATTTAGGTCATATGATGAACCCGAATCGCCAAATAAAGAGGCCTATATTAAGATATATAATGATTTCGAGATGCTAAATCATGAGGCATATTTCAGATATATAATGAATCAGAATCGCCAAATAAGGGGACGCATTTAAAATATTTGATAAATTCGAGTCGCTCCACCTCGAGAGCATTATCAAAATATATGATGAATCGGAATCGCCAAATGAGGGACGTATTTACGGCAAGGCGAAAATATATTTAAGATATGAATATATATATATATATATATGATGATGATATTGATGAAACCTCGAATCGACGAAGATTTGCTAAGTGACCTCGAACAAATTTGTTAAGCGACCCGAAACGGTGCGACCCCACAAAAAGCTTGCTAATTGACCCCTGGTCCTCCTCTCCTGCCGTGCAGGTGAACTTCGTATTTTCCCTCTCGATGGACCCACCTTGCCGAGGTGGGAGGACTAAATTCCCCCTCCATAGACGGGGGAAGGAAATCAGGAGGTCCCCAAACACGAAAAGGAAAAAAAGGCCACTAGGTGTGCGAGGCGGCGAGGTGCGCGAGCGAGGTGCGCGAGGCCGCGCGAGGTCTGCACGAGGCCGCGAGGTGTGCGAAGCCGCGAGGTGAGGGGGCGAGGTCAAATCAAGTTCGTTTTGCTTTCGGGTCAAAAATCTTGTTCTTTATCAATTATAAGTTCAAGAGTCAGTATCAAGATCTCCACGCATTTATAACTCAGATTCATATTTGATTCTTGATTATATATTTCGGCCTTAGTCTGAAGGTTGCTTATTTCAAAATAGATTTTGTCTCATCGCCAGTTCTCCGCAGTTGCGTTTGTTCCAAGCAGGGGCCCGGAGTAGGCAATATTTTCTTATATTATTCTTTCAAAGGCGAGAAGCCTACGTGCAGTATAATTTCCGTCATGCTGGCTTGCACATGAACAGAACATATACGCGCATCCACAAGTCACTTGAGATTATCGTTCAATTTCAAGCCTTTACATTATTCAGAAGTCTCGGGCATGATGATGCTCTCGATAATAACACCGATGCTT